GTATCCCCTCGTAAGACAGATCTCTAAAGTGAAAGGGCTCATGGGCAAAACATGCGAGAGATCCGAATTGTACTTGCGTAGCATGGACACATGAACACATTATGGACCTGAAAAGTTCTGGAGGCAGTGCTAGTCTGTAGGCGGCAATGCCAATTCTATCTAAAATTTCAAATGGCCCAATAAATCGGGGATTTAATTTTTCCCTCTTATTAAACTACTGATTCGGTTGAACGAAGTGACCTAAAAGAACACCCGATCACTTCTCAAATTCTAAATCCCTCCTCCGGTATCCGGACAAATTTTCTCTCTGCTCTGAGCCATATAGATGTTCTTCCTGATCTTAATTATTTTGGCTGTAGTCTCCTCTACAAGATCTAGACTAAACAGTCTTCTATCACCCATCTCTTTCCAACATATCGGCAATCTGTATGGGCGGCCATACAACGCTTCGTACAGAGTCATGCCAATACTTATTTGGTAGCTGTTATTATAGGAAAACTCTATTCGGAGTAAATGATCATCCCAATGACCCCCCGAAGTCAGGAACAAAAGCTTGGAGTATATCCTCCAGTGTGCGGATCATTCTTTCTAATTATCCATCGGTCTGAGCATGGAATGCAGAACTAATGGACAGTTTCGTTCCCATGACTTGTTCAAAATTAGACCAGTACCGAGAAGTAAACATAGGGTCCCTGTCGGGTACTACTGTCACTGCCATTCCATGTAACCTAACTATCTCTCGCATATACATTTTTACTATCTTGTCCAAGGGATCGGTCATCCTGATGGCTAAGAAGTGGGAAGATTTAGTAAGACAGTCAACAACTATCCAAATGACATCATGTCCCGAGCGTGTCCTAGGCAATCCTATTACGAAATTCATTATGATATATTTCTACTTCTACTCTGGAATTGGTAATGGCTGAAGTAGTCCGTCTGGCCATTGATGTTCTACCTTGATTTGCTGACATATCAAACATCTCTTTTCATCATGTTCCAACAAAATCGGGGCCGCATACTTTGATACATCTCAGTGCTTCAGGGATGCTTGATAAACTTTGAGCTATGGACCTCTGTCATGATGCTCCTTTTCAGCTCACTGTCACCTAAAACACACAATCTGTCCTGAAATCTAAGTAACCCATCAGTAGATACTCGAAATTCTGAATTAACTCCCTGTTCTGCATCTTTCTAGAGGGCTGCTAGGGTGGAATAGACAGATTGGGCTTCCTTTATTCCCTAGATCAACTCAGGTTGAATAATCAGGTGCGCCAAGCACATAACTTTCTTCAGGTCCATAAGTTATACCTATTGTGCGGCCCCTATTACCCTACAATCTGAAACAATTATGTGAACTAATATACCATCACTTTTTCTGCTGAGTGTGTCGGCTACCACATTGGCTGTACTCAGGTAATACAAGATACTGCAATCATAGTTCTTAAAGAGTTTTATCCATCTTTTCTGACGCATGTTGAGATCTTTTTTACTGAAGATATGTTTCAAGCTCTTATGATCGGTATATATCTGAAAGATCTCTCCATACAAGTAAGAGCGTGTGGATAATCTCGGCGAGTTCTAAGTCATGGGTAGGGTTGTTTTTCTCATGACTCTTCAATTACCTAGACCCATAGGTTATAACCTTTCAATGCTACATCAAAACACAATCCAACCCCATGTAGGAGGCATCACTATAAATTGTATATTCACCTATCCTGCTTAGCAAGACCAACACAGGTGCAGTAGTTAACCACTTCTTTAATTCTGAAAAACTCCTTTCACAGTTCTCGTTTCACTCGAACTTGACGTTCTTCTTTGTGAGTTGAGTTAAAGGAGCAGTTAAACTAGAAAATCTTTCCATAAATCTCAACCTTTCCGAGGTTCACTAACACTCTATCACTTGATATGATGTGCCCTAGGAAGGTAGTATGCTCGAGTTAGAACACATACTTGCTCAGCTTTGCATACAACTTCTTTTCTCTGAGGACCTGTAAAACTTTAGTTAGATGGTGAGTGTGCTCCTCTCTACTTTTTGAATAGATCAGGATATTATCGATAAATACAATGACGAACTGATCCAGGAATTTTTTGAAAACTCTGTTCATCAAATACATGAAGATGGCTGGTGTCTTGCTTAGTCCAAATAGCATGATCAAAAATTCATAGTGTCCGTACCTGATCCGAAAAGTTATTTTAGGAATGTCTTCTTCCTTGATCTTTACCTGATAGTAACCTAAACACAAGTCTATTTTGGAGAAGACCTGGGTACCCTACAACTAATCAAAAAGGTCATCGATCCTAGGGAGGAGGTACTTCTTCTTGATCGTGACCTTGCTCAGTCCTCTGTAGTCAATACATAACCTTAACTTCTCATCCTCCTTCCTTGTAAATGTGACTCTGGTACCCCGAGGGGACACGCTATGTCGAATGAATCCACTATCCTGCGATTTCTTGATCTGTTTTCTTAACTCCTCCTTCTCAACACGACTCATGTGGTAAGGGATAACTGAAATAAGCTGGGTGTCTGGCTGAAGGTCTATGGTGAATTCAACTTCTCTGTCTATTGGTAGTCCGGATAGTTCATCTGGGAACACATCGAGGAAGTCTCAAACTACTGAAATTTCTTGAATACAAATTTTTTTTTCTTAAGTTTGCCTAATTATAGAAAACAGTCGAGTTAAAGCACTTGTTAGTAAGAAAAATTATCATGAGGGAACAAATGTTAGAAAATTTATTAATTTGTAAATGACTCATCATTCTAAGGGTTAAATACAAGTTTCTTATGAAAATAATATACGATGACGTGATACACCGCTAGCCAGTTCATTCGTAGGATTACATCAAAGTCCCCCGTATCAATCTCTATTAGGTCCACACTCAAATTTCTATCTGCTATATCTATGACATAGACTCTGTATATAACCTCCCCCAGTAGTGTCCTACTCCCAGGAGTAGACATAAACAACATAGAATCAAGTCTTTCAGGTAATACATTCAAGTTTGATGCAAAAGCATGTGAAACAAGTGAATGTGAAGCTCTAGTATCAATCAAAATATGTGCAAAATGATTACAGATAGTGTACGTATCCTGCATCACATCTAGGTTAGCCTCTGCATCTTGTTGAGTGAGGTTGTAAGCCCCATCCTGAATAGGAGGTCTGGTTTGGTTCTAATTCCTCGAGCACTCCCTCACATAATGTTGGGCACTCCACATATGCAGCAGGTATTATTTGAGGCGATAGAAGGGTTAGTCCCTATGATCCTTGTCACAGTGTTGGCAAGTTTTGCTGCGTCCTGTTGTTGTAATTTGAAGAGGAGCCTGAGTCATTGGACTAAGTCTCTTGTTCTGCTGAACATGTGCAATAGGTGCTAGTCTGCGGTATAAAACCGGGGGCCTGAGATTCCCTACTGCTTGAAGAAAAATGTGAAGGTTCATCTCCACTAGCTGTGCTTTGGCCAGAACAACCAAGTAAGTACTGAGCTCGAATACATATAGCTGCTGTTTAATCTCAGAAATGAGACCCCACCCGAACTTTCTTATTTTTCTGCCTTTATACATCATGCTCTCAGGGGAATACCAGCCCAACTCTAGAACTTTCGAGTATATTCCGATACAGTTATATCACCCTGGACTAAGTGTGCAAACTTCTTTTCTTTTAAATGT